ATGGTTGGATATTTATTATGTTTGTTGGATAGTGGTTGGATGGATGTTTGGTTGGATGAACTTATACATTAATGTGAAACACAATAATGAAATTAAACTAAACTATTTTCTACTAAAAGCTTTATTTTAACTCTCTGACATCACATTAGGATCTCATTGCTTCTGTAATTACACTAAATAATTCAGTATTGTTTGACACAGACATGTTTAATAAACTGAGCGATCAAAACTCTTCATAGCTGCTTTAAGATGTCATTCGCAACGAGTCAAAGTAAAACTCACCATCATGCTCTCAAACTCAGCGTAAAACTTCTTAAACTTGGTGGGAAGTTTCTGCCAGTGAAAAAGAAAACAACCGGGACGTCAGTGACGATGAGAGAACTTTGACAGATAGAGTGTAGATTATTCTGTAGTCTACCTCCCATGTTTGGCTCAGTCTGCTGACAGCAGGGTTGCTCATCCCCATAATGATGGCAAAGAAGGAATTCAGGTTCTTGAATTCTCGACAGCTATACACAAAGATAAAGTAAAAAAATACAGTAAATACTTGAATTAAAGTGTTCAGCTGTTTGGTGTGTAAAGACATTTGATCTTATAAAGCAGGTTGTGCTCACTGTGCTGCTATCTTAATGAATTTCTTGAGGAGCTGCACTCTCTTGCTGAGCTGAGTGCAGAGGCAGACTTCAGTAACCACCCACAGCTGGACCTGGTTGAACCTCCTCAGGAACAGGTCCAGATTAGCCGTGGTTCTTTTGAAACTCTGGCGGCCAAACGTGTGATAGAGCAGCTCGTGCTGTGAAAAAAGGAAAAGAGTAAACACACAGGGTGAGCTAGCCTCGACTCAATCCAGGGAACAGATTCTGCCACCGCGGATGATTCAGCTCATAGTTGCATTACAGTACCTCGTGCACACAACTGAAGAGTTCCCAGTCAAACATGGTCATCTGATAAGCCAGATCTTTGGAGCTCATTAACTCAAAAGTTGACATGGAGCCTGCAGAGGGACCCTCCTGATCTGGAAGAGGAGTCTGAAACACACACGATGGATGGATACATTTACAGACACAGCCAAAGCAATAACAAAGGTCCAGAATCTTTAAATTAACACACCTGTAAACAACCAATTTATTGATTTGAAATATTAAACTGTATTCAGTCACACGGCTTAAAGGCAATATTTGTTGGTTTTAGTTTCTTTGTTTAGATTTTATTATAATGTAGTCATATAACGCATTATTCAATACTGTAATTGCCGGTCTCGGGTTTATACAATGCTGTGGCTAGTTCCTTTTTTTAACGAGCTAACTGCTGCCAAAACGGGCCCAACACACCACTCTTCAGGGGGTGAGTCCTCGTTACACACACAGACAAAGTGAACCCCACAGGTCTTCATGACAATTAGCTCTCTCACTCGTGTTTACTCGACTGAATGACCTAACACAAACTAACACATAAACTAAGCTAAGAACAGACTAGTAATCACTAAAATAACAATGCAAAACAGCTAAATGAAATGATTAACAATGAACATATATTTTACCCATAAGCCTTCTCTGAGGCCATGTGACCAGCATTCAACCATAATGAACAAATGAGGTAGTTACTGATTCACAAGGACCAACCCCCGAGAGATGTGCATTAATGAGACTACCTGTATAAATAAAGATTAAAAAAAATATGGCCAATGAAAGAACCGAACAGGTCACAGTCAACTCAATGAAACAGGGAGGGGAGAAGAGAACGGGATGGGGGATTCCCCTGCATGCACAGTTAGAGTGAACCTGTGGGGTTCACTCTGTGTGTTGATCAGTAAGATAAAGCCTATAACACGCCATCTGGTGGTTGATTCTTGATCTACAACAAGAGCTGTACATCTTCGGTATACTGTGTGCTGCCTATCATGTTATAACAGGAACACCTTTGGCATAGACACAAGCACGTTTTTATGTGCTTATATCCAGGTGTGCTCTATAGACAAGCAATTACGGTAATTTAGCTTCACATTAAGAAGCTCTATCTCTTACCACATTATTGAGCTGGTCTCGCGGACAAGTAAACAATCTCCCATTGATGCTTAACGTAGAAAACACCGAGACGTCGTTGGGCTTCAGGATTTGTTTATCTGGAACAGAAATGGGAGCGTGTGAGCTCTGATGGTGTGGAAATGAAGGCTACGCTGTGAGAGTCTTTAGTATTTTAGCATTCTTACCAGCAGCAGAGCTAAGGTGAACCAGCAGGAGCTCGTCAGTGGTGCCGAGTTTGTCGCTCACAGCGCTGATCACTTCCCTCCCAGTTGCTGCCACTGCAACCCTGATTGTCGTGTAGGTGTGATCACTGCAGTACACCTTCAAGAGGACTGCACACAGGAAATACAGATGTCAAACGTGACAGCCTCTGATCTGTGACGTACAAATAAAAAACTAAAAAACAAAAGCTTTCCACATTATTGTTTCTGTTGTATCTTTCTGACTAAACCAGATCAAGTGCCTCGAACATAAATATTAAAACAATATCGTTTTAATCAACCCTGCAGTGGATTTTACTTACAACATAATTTGACTTAAGGAATATCGTTACTATTCCCACAGCAATCTGTAAAGTAGTTGGAGTCAAATGATCAAGTTCAAGACTATAATTGCTTTCATGCAAACAACTTACTGTCGTCTTGGTTCCTTATGGGTTGTTTCTTCTGCAGCCTTTCCTCTCCATTGCTGAACTGCCGTATCAGGGTCTTCTGTTAAATTGTAACAATACTCAGATCACTATGATGCAGAAGTCACATGCATGTTACAGACAGTACATTTCTGTTGAATAAAACACAGAGATCTAAAAAATATATCCAGTACACGCACCTTTTTGATTGATTTGACTTCCTCTGAGCTACAAAAAGACAGAAGTGACGCAATAAATGTGAGTTGTACTTAAAGCATCACGCTGAGACCTGTAGATGGAGAAAGTGACACTTACTGTAATTTCACCATTTTCTCCAAGTCAGGAATCAAGTCCTTTAGACCTCGCAGTGTGCGAGAATCATTAGACGCGCTGCCATACAGCTCCTGCAGAGACAGACAGGAAGAACCGCTCAGACCAGGCAGAACTTCTGTGCAGGTTGTGTGACTCCCACTGAAGTCTTGGCCAAGTTCACCTCCAGGAAAGAGAGTGCCGCGGGTTCCTCCTGTAGCAGGTATGTGTGTGTGTTTGCCCAGCGCAAGGCCAGAATGAGGGTCCTCCTTTTACTGTTGAGAGTGTACTCCAACCTCTCCTGTTCAGAGCCTGGAGGAGACGCTGCATGGTAGGTACATACTTTGGTCAAAGATGAATAAGAGCTTATAGATTTTATACGTCTGATGGTTTAAAAACAAAAGGGTGGTGACTTCTTAAGATGTCAGTTTCAGTCCTTGTGCTCAAACTTTAACAATCACTGCACAAATTTAAACAAATGATCATCAGAACTTATAAAACTCTTGATTTTATGCAGTCTGTGAGTGTTTTATTACAACTCCTATATTTACCAGTGGTTGTATAGTATCTATTAAATGCAACAACCAGAAGTATCAGAATATTTTCTATTTCATAATAAATAAAGTTCAGGAAAAATGAAGAGCTGAGCTGTAATGAGCAAGTTTCAAGCAACTTCCCCACAACTAGAGTGACTGACAAAATAACATTTAATGCATCAAAAATGACAACTCATTACAAATGCAGACATTAAAGGATATTGTGCCATGAGTAGAGGGCAGAGCTGGCTGTTTGGCATGAAGACATAGTGCATGAGAACAAAATCATCCACTGCTGGGTCTATGAGAGAGAAAAGAGAACACAAGAAGAAAAAGTCATAAAAGAAACAGAACACTAATCCTTACGAGTACAAATCCACCCATTCCAGAAAACAGTGCCATTGGTGTTAGAGTAAAATACAGTAGGAACATAGGCTGTGAAACATCTGGTTTATAAACAGAGACCTGCAGGTTCCACTGAACATAATTTAAACTAACTTTGCCATCCTGTCTTCTGAAATGTGTCAGTTACTTGGATAATTCAACACTAAATAACATATTTAATGAAACTAAAACCATCAAACATTTCCACACTGTTTTATTTTTTTTAGTTTTCTCTCGTTACCTGGCTCGTTGTGATGAATGTCCAGTCTCATCGTCTCCAGGAAGTGATCAAGAATCTTCTCTGGTGTCCCTGATATCACAGTGTATCTGAAAAAAAAAAAAAAAAGTTAAAAAGTGACACATTTAAAACTGTTACACAAAAGCCTTTGTTGAAAATGACAAGTGATGTAAAAGTACACGTTTTATTGTACATCTACATTTGTTGATGAAGCTTGTGTTTTACGGTTTGTCCCAGAAAAGCAAATAGTATAATTACAAACAGTAAGATATTTACAACAAACATTTAAAATAAAAATAACGGTTAGAATGTGTTAGAAGCAAAAATGCAAATATCCCTGATGATGAACCCAAACAAACTCTATGTGTAAAAGCATTTTAACAGTGAATGTGGAGATGATTTCTTCTACTGACACCAGCAGAAGAATCATAAATATTAAACACAATCACATACTTAATGCTTCCCAGTGTGGATGCTCGAGGACTCTTCTCTAAAACCAGCACAACTTGTTCATGCTCTTTCAAACGCACGGTGTTGGCTTCCACATCCTAAAATCACAAGCACAGTCAAGTTTACCCTGCAGTACACCTTCTCTGTCACTAGAGGGAGACATGTATCACAACCAGGCAGTGAGGCAGCATCACTTTGCCCTAACAGATAGGTGTTTGTTTATTTGATAGATATAACAGTTGAAACCAAATGAGTTTTAAAGTCAGTGTGTTTATATTTCTACTAAAAGAAACTCTAAACATTCAGCCCACCCTGAGGATCCTGTTGAAGTCCTCCTTATCCACACGCAGGAAGTGGCAGTTGTCCTCTCTCAGGACGATGGAGGCAGCACGAGGTGAATCTGTAACCAAGGCTAACTTCCCAAAGTCATCGCCCTCGTGAAGCGTGCAGACTACACCCTAAAGTGCACACACATAACGCATGAATGCACATGCAGACGAGCGCCCACTAAGATTTAAATTAGCTCAGACTCAAAGACAGTTTGAAAGTCATCAGAAGCCCTAAAGAAAACCAGACAGGGCTGAATCATTTGTGCCAGTCCGAGTGCATTTGTTTGTACTGTAGTTGTGTGGTGTGACTTTTGTGTATGCATGCAGTCCCTTCAGCCTGTTAATCATTGTGATGAGTCATGATGAGCTGAGGAGAGCTTGCCAAACTCCACTGCTGGTGTTTCCCCATCCCTACAGGGAACTTTGTAGCTCGTCTGCTCAGTGCAGACATGACGAGCTACACATTTTAATCCATTACATACAGTTGGAATATCTTCAAATGAAGCAGAAAACTATAGAAACACTCATGTCAAAACCATAAAAAAAACTATGAGCGCATTCAGGCCCATGGACTCACCTTCCCATAAATAACCACATTAACAGAGCCCTTCTGGATGATGTACCAAGATGTGCCTTCCTCTCCTTGGTTAAACACTGAAAAATATATAAAAAAAATAACAACTAAAAATAATCATGCACATAGAATATACATTATTAAATTATCAACTCCAGAACTGGTCTGAAAATGATGACTAGGTTTTCTGCAACATCAAATCAACCTATAGTTTAGATGGTTCTAGCAGAAAATATCAGTGTCTGACAGCATGACTATAAAAGCTTTCTGTTTACACACCCACACGTTCTTCAATTATTCTAAAACGCGTTTCAATGTTTCAAGAAAGACTGCACTAAACTGAAGAACAGCGCCAATTTAACTAACGGTAACTTGTTTTTTTGTGTGAAACTGTCAGGAATAGATGAGAACTCACACACAGTTCCAGCTTTTGCATGCGACTCAAAGATCACCACGCTTGCCAGTTCCCGCTTTACCTGCAAAACAAAGCACAGCTTCAAACTAGAGCTGCACAAAATTAGAACAACAGGTCAGTGCCATGACATCGCAGAATATTGCAATGACTATATCAGTTGCAATGAAGCCACATGATCTATTACAAGAATTCCAACACCCTCCATGTGCTGCAGACATTTTGAGGAGAGGGAGGGGGTCCATCTGATGATAAATATGTTTGGGTTTTTTTGCACTTTGTGTCTGCAATTTATGGACTCCTTAGAGATACAGTAGTCCCTTGCTACTTCATGGTTCGACTTTTGCGGATTCACTCTTTTGCGGTTTTTCAAAGTAAGATTGAACACAAGAATAAAAATTGTACACAACACATGAATGTCAACTAATATTACTCACATGATTGGGACAGTACTGAATTTAGTAACAAGTTAACAAAAAATAAAATAGTTTGGACAGACGCCGCCGTTTTGTAGTTTTCTCTCAATAAGCCTACACTGTATTCCCGTTCATAACAACTACATTTCCCAGAAGCCAACAGGGCCTCGCCCAGAAGCCCTGTTGGCTTCTGCTGAAATACTAGAGGGAACGTTTTGTTTTGATCTGAAAAAGTTTGGTCCTTTACAGTGACTTAGGCGCCCAGCGGATAGGGAGAGCCGCACAGAACCCACCAGGAACCGGACTAGAACTGGAGCAGAACTGGACCTCCAGACCCATCGGTGAATCTGAAAGCTGGTAGCCAGCCCACGAGGACTTCCGAGCGGGGGACATGTGCCGCCGAAGGTCCGGCGCTCCCCCTGGAGCCCACCGCCACCACCCCGAGCCAGAGAGCCGACCAGAACCGGCAGGGTAGGTCAGCCGAAACTGAACCAAGTCGGACCGGAACTGATCCGCTGCTGTTCTGCAGAGCTGGTGAGTTCAATTTAGTAGCTACATATAAGTATGTTGTTAAAATTAGTAGCTTGAAGAGTTTAGAACATTGAAAGAGTATGGAAAGGTTTCTAAAGCCTTAATATATATATATAAATTCTAAAATAAATTTAACATTGCTACTTCGCGGAGTTTCACTTATTGCAGGGGGGTTCAGAATGTAACTCCTGCAATAAACGAGGGACTACTGTATTTATATTGTGAACACCGGTATTCCAATATCAATAAATAACAAGAACACTTTTCAAGCTGGGGCAGTCTTAAAAACCCCATCCGCATGCTAAAATATACCAGAACAGAATGAAGATACACTTCAAGTGTCAAACACTAAAAAATATTCTGAAGTATGATGACTCATCTTATTAATAACCCATTTAATGATAGAAGAAATGACGTGTCTGACTCACAGTGGTGGAGAGGTGAGCTAAGGCCTTGATGTGAAGCAGCTCGTCATAGATGATCTCTAAGTCATCGCCCGTCCTCTGACCCGGCCTTCAGACACAAGATTTGACACAAGTTTTACTTCAAATACTCTGAATTTCATGGATATTATTTTGGAATACAGTTGGTTAACGTTTAAATATGTAAATAAAGAGCAACAAAAATGGGAGGTGTCAAAATTACTTACAACCTTGATTGCTGTACTATCAGCAATAATTTACGATTTTTTTTTTATGTGGAAAAAATTTGTCCATACAATCTTTATCATATTGTTATATAATTTTACATATGAGGCAGTTTCTAAAATTTGCAGTCAGGGTTTCACAGTGGGCTGTGACATGCCCAATGAGGGTTTGGAGATGATACCAAAAACAAATTAAATTTAAACATAATTGGTTAGGGGTTTTTTTATATAATTGCTACAAGAGTGGGTCAGAAGCTGAGGGGTTTAGAGTAGATATAAGCTCAGCAAACTGATTGTTACTGACGATTTCCTGAGGATCATGCGCAGCAGTGCGTCGGGGCCAATCTGAGCCAGAAAGAGGATGGTCTCTGGCAGCTCTTCCTCGCTCTCTCTCTTCTCTTCCTCACTAGGTAACGGTGTGTCCTCCTCCTCATCATCAAGAAACCGGTAGAACAAGTATTTGTCCTGGAAACCCAGCTCCTGGTCCACTGGCGAGCAGACAAACACAAATGTGAACAAATATTGTTTTCTAATCACCGTTTTATCAGCTCAGAAACATCATTCGAGACAGATTCTTTCAAAGCAACAACTATAGCAATCTATGTCCTGATGTATGCTCAATAATCCAGGTAGATAAATCTAACAAGGTTGAGTCAAGTCCTCTGGACAGATTCTTCTTTGTTGAAACGTTTCATCTTTTATCCAAAAGACTTATTCAGTCTGAAGATGAAACGTTTCAACGAAGAAGAATCTGTCCAGAGCACCTGATTCAACCTTGTTAGATATTTAAATCTATGTTTTACATCTATAATCCAGAATAAAAATAAAATAAATAACAATTCTCATTACCATGATTAAGCACTCCTTCCTCTAGTAGTGCCTGCCACATGCCAACAGCATGGGAGCGTGTGAGCACACAAGCGCTCTGCATCACCAACCAGTCCACCAGCTCTGTGCCTACACAGCACTGTCTGCAACGCACATGGAAGCACACGGCTCAAACTGTAAATGTAGCTCAGTTTCAATGATGCCCTCTGTATTTGAATACGCTCTAACCATTGATAGGTTTACCATGTAAATATTTCAGCTAACATCAAGTCAGCCGTAGCTGCAGTCACTCACGTACTTGTATGTTTTGAGGTGATATTTCCTGTCTCGGATCATGTGCGGCGCTCTCGACAGAATGGCATTGCGGAGAACTTTTCCTGCTCTCCTCAGCTTCTCTGAGGGAATCTAAATCCAAACAAGAAGAGAGCAAACTTCACTGTAACAATGAAAACTCACTTTTTACAAATTGTTCTAACATATTTATACAGCTTTGGGTTTGTTGACGCACGGCTTGCGAGTGTATGCCCAGCAGATCCTTACCACTAGTAAGCTACAATAAAACGGTGTGCCATACATATTAAACAGTTCATAAAAGCAGATACTACAGACGACACCTGCACTTACACAAGGTGAAAAATGGCAGATATGTATACACACACAGCTGTTTTTTGAAAACACCAAAGGAAGGTGTCTTAATTGGGCAGATGGGATCTTTCTTCGATGCGCATGCATTACCTAGGATTTACATAACTACTGAACGTTCCCGCTCTGACTCATCAGTGGTCTCTGCTCAGCAAACACACAGACTTCTAAATTCATTCAAAAAACAAACAAAAGCGTGCAGCACAAAAAACCTGTAATGTGTCATGACATTGCAAACTAAAGTATCAGAAGCTTTTCAAATTCAATCTGAATCAGAGCAACGTTTAAAACTTCAAAAACCTTGATTTACTGACACACACATGTATGATAGGAAGTGACCGGTCCTACCAGTTCCCACAGGTCCAAATAGAGACATATAGGAACTAGACCAGGGGTCTGCAACCTTTGCGATAAAAAGAGCCATTTTTGCCACTTTGCTTACTAGTTACGATGTTCGGAGCTGCAAAACCTGCTACAACTGTGTACTGTACTGTCAACTGGTGGCCCATGGGCCACTACAAGTTTGTTGTAGATGGTTTTTCCGTCCAGTGGGGGTGATATTATAAAACAAAAAATGTCTAACTATTATTAACATTTATTGATATTTTTACATTTCTATACAAAAAAAAAAAGACCAGATTCAAGAAAAGAAAGAAAAAATATTAAAATTTTAACAATTTTATAAAAATTAAAACACTGAACTCTGCAGGCTGATGTGAGTTCTCTTAATGGTTGAATAATAACGTGTCCTACTTAAAGTTAAAGACAGTATAACATTAGGCCAGTTTGTTGCATATTCAGTTACATTTTTAAAGAAAAAGAAATACTTTCATTTACTATGATTTTTGTGTTTTATGCTTAGTGTTATCAAAGTTACTCAACATATTCCTTCTCAGCAACTTGTCTTAAAGATATTTCAGAACATTATGGTTGTTTTGAGAGAAAGATTACGCCGTGAGACTGGAAGTCGACGTAAAGTGGCTAACAAACTACTAGCATGATGTAGTCCATGTGTTTTACACTTTGTATTTGTACTATCCTTCACATATTTGAAAATGACAGGAAATCTGCTAAAACTAGCCATTTTCATTGTTGGCAATAATTTAAATAACATTCGGTTTTATTTTAGTTTTGGTCAAAGCTGCTGCAGCGGGACCAAAGAGCCACATGTGGCCCCAGACCCACAGATTGCAGACCCCTGCACTAGACAGTTCAAGTCTTTCTAGAGACAGTATGCTGCTTCTTTCATTTTAAAGCCCTAAACAAACCAAACCTGGGATCTGGATGGGTGCTTACCTTGTTATGCGCTTTGTTTGCAGAGTCTGAGTTCATGTTGTCTTTGTCTGTGAGTCCTGATGGGCGAAAAACATAATGTAGACTGCTTTAAAAACAAAACAGTAAAACACATTCCACATAGTTTTCATGCCAAATATTTGGGTGGATATTTTGCGTACATAATCTAGTGATTTATGTTGAGAGAATATAGGGTTTAAATTTTTTTTTACTTCTTTTGTACAACTTCAAAATGATTATTCACGTTGACTTTGAACTCCCCACGAGTCCACTGATTCATCAACGTGTGTTTTCAAAACCCTTCATGGATCTACTAACTGTCATTGTTGGATCCACTCTCCATGGCGCCATAAGGTGGGGCCAACAGTCCAGCCAGGCTCTGACGATACTTCTGCAAGGCAACACACACACACACACACACACACACACACACGCGCACACACACACACCAGTTTTTCAACTTTTAACACCTCCTAAATGATCATGTAATAAATCCTTACTGTCATCATGTTTAAAAAATACTTCTTTTAAAAGTTTTTGCTTTTGTCAAAATGTACAGCATGGAAAAGAATTGTAACGTGAGTAAAATCTTCATCAAAGAGACTTACTGAATCTGGAAAATTAGGTTTTAAATGCTTATGAAGGTTCCTAACAAAGCAGAATGCCCAGTGGTTTCTAAGCAATACAATCAGAATAGGAGCTGCTTGCAAAGAGCTTCTGTGCCTAATTTATTATCTGCTTTAGTGAAGGCAGCGCTGGATCATCCGTCATGAAAGGAAAGGAAATAATTCCATCCCAGAATTCCCTGTGGCCTCTTCTTTCAAAGCTGGGGTAATTTCACACACAGCCATTTGAACTGAGATTTAAATAAATAAATATGAGGACAGGTGTGTGAGCAGTTTGTGGCAATATACTGTGTGTGTATATA